TCGCGGGCTGTGTGCGGGCTGCGCGGGCTGGTCGCGGGCTGCGCAGGCGGTTCGCGGGCCGTGCATGGGCGGTTCGCGGGCTGTGAGCGCGGCGCGCTGTGCGGTTCGCGGGCGGCGTGACGGGGCCGATCGGGGCGCTAAGGGGCGACGCGACGGGGGCCGTGAGAGGCCGCTAGGAAAAAAAAGTTCGACGGGGCCGCAGGGCCGCTAGATCGTGCTAGATCGACGGGGCCAGCGGGGCCGGAAACAAGTGAAGGTAAGCAGGTAGGTAAGTCGGTGGGCCCTAAGAACAGTCCTAGCGAAGGACCTGCTCTGATACCATGTCAGAAATAACTGAGCAGGAATGGAATGAACTAGCACAGAGTTTGGTACAAGTAGGAAACCCTAACTTTGAGTACCCCCTAAGGTGTAACCCACTACAGCCTACATAATATAAACATGCAATGTTTGACAAATTGTGTGACGCTCGATGTTCATCCAAGCGTCGCACAGCCATGCCAGTACGTTGCGCAGGTTCGGCTTGTACCGAGCCATTGCCGCCATCGCGCCATCCGCCGACCACAGCGCGGTGAAAGCGCTTAGCCAATGCGCACGGTACCGTGCCTTCGCCGTCGCAATAATCCCCTGATCGAGGGGTTGGGTGAATGCCGTGGTGTTCGGCGGCAGGTACACGATGCGGACGTTGCTGAGGTTCTGCGTGCGGAAGCCAAAGAGGTCCTCCATCTCGGCCTCTTTTGACTTGAGCACGTGAGAGGAGGCGTTGTCCATCTAAATGACAATGTGCCTGTCTTCGGCGTACATGGCAGCATTAAGCTGCTCGATGATGTGTGTGAAAACCTGCATGCAAGCACACGGGGAAAGGGGGAGGCACAAAGTATTAGATAATTGGACACATACACCGAAGAACCAGAAAAGCTAAGAACCGAAGACGCCATAAAGGTGTAAGAGTTATAATGTACATGACATGTACTACATGGGGCTTTAGCGTGGGTTTAGCTCACCGGGATGGTCATCCAGCCCTTAGCCGTGTTGCGCCAATAGCAAACCTCGTCAAGGTCGTAGTCGGGGCGGAAATCGTGGGGACACTTGGCTTTCGAGATGACCAACGGGCGGAACGAGTGCGATCCATCGACGTTGACCAGGAAGCCGACGGTAAGGCGATCCTTGGGCACCTTCCGTCCCGCCACGCGCCCATTGCCGTAAGTCTTGCGGGGCAGCACTGAGATATAGAGCGCGGTTTCATCAAAATTGTAGACATCTCGGGCCCGAACCGAGCGGTGCATGAGCAGCTGCGGAAGCTTCTCGCGTGTCGTGCGCACGGCGGCCATGTCCTGGTCCGCCGCCTCGCCGACGGCGCTCAGACAGCGGACACCCTGGCGGCGCAATGCACGGCGCACCCGACCGATTGAGCAGCGGAACGTCGCCGGCAGGACCATGCCACGAGCCATGGTCACGACATGGTCGCGAATGGTTGCGAGCGTGCCCGCGTTGGCAATCCAGCGAGCCATAGCTCGCTCCAGTTCCGAGTGTGCGCCTCCCCGGACGCGGACGATGTTGTTGTTCGTCGTAGTGGCGGCCCATCGTTCGGAGCCCTTCAAAACGCGGCCGATCGTCGATCGGTCAAGCCTGATTCCGAAGCGGGTGAAACACCGGCGCGCAAGATCGACGTGGCGCATCAGGGGGTGGGCGACATGGTGGGCACAGATAGCCCTCTTGATATGCACGGCGAGCTGCGAGCGGCGGTATAAACGAGGCATGGCTGGCCTCGAAGGTAAGGAGAGACTGGATGTCAAGTGAGTTTTCTAGCCTTTTTATGAAGTTTGGATGTGATGCAGCCTGAGTATTGTTAAAATCCCAGCCAAGAATGATTGAAAGGAGAGGGGTTTCACTAGCAGCAGTTGGGGTACATATAGCAAACCCTAACTGGGTTGTACTCGCTATAGAGCACCCCACTACAGGCTAGACAATAATAACATTCTGACACACCCCCATAGCCAAAGTGGGGTGTAATCAGTACAATGAGCAGGCATAGCAATAGTTCACAATTATAAGCAAAGCTAGAGGTGATCATAGAGGGCAAGTGAGGAGGAGGAGAAACTGTGAGGGCGAGAAGATGAAAGGCGCCGACTGAAGCTGCAGACACACGGGCAACAGGAGCGGCGCGCACAGTGGCTACCGAGCGCACGAGGGCACCGGACTACGGGAGTATCTGGCTCCGCGGCTACGACGAGCACACACAGGAGCAACGGACCCACAGGCGACTGGCGAAGCAGGCTCGCTGGGCTCGCTGGCGTCACGACGGCTACCTCCACGCAACCTCCTCCGACCGTCCCACGCCCCTCTCACACACCCCCTGCTGACACCCTAGCTCCACTTCCACGGCACCCCCCTTAAACCCTAAACCCTCGGCTCCCACACACCCACCCCCCTCAGCGGCAGCTGCAGCAGTGGGAGACGGAGGAGGAGGAGGAGCCGCAGGTTACCCACACCGGTCACCCCCATGCCCGCCACCCCCAAACCCTAACGCAGGCAGGAGCGCGGGAAACAGCAGGGGCGGGGCACGGAGGGAAAGGGAGGCAGCGGGGTGGCTCTTGGGCGCCACGAAGAAGCAGGGCGCGGGCCCCCCGAGGGCGCCACGGCGGGTGACGGGAGGGGGGCCGCGCACGGGCCCCCGAGGGCGGCTCGACGGGCGACGGGAGGGGCCGCGCGCGGGCCCCCTAGGCGCCGCGACGAGGCGACGGGAGGGGGCGGCGCGCGGGCCCCCAAGGTGCCGCGACGAGGCGACGGGAGGGGGGGGACGCGCGGGCCCCCAGGGCGCCGCGACGAGGCGACGGGAGGAGGACGACGGGGGGCAGCGCGCAGGTCCCCGGGGGCGCCACGACGGGCAGGAAACCGCCGCGCGCCTCGGGGCGCACGGCGGGCAGAAAACCGCCGTACGCCCTGAGCGCACGGCGGGATGAAAAACCATAAAAAATTTTCCCCGCGCGCTCCGCGCGCGGCAGGAAGAAGACGGCGCGCGCCCGAGGCGTGCGAGAAGCAGAATAGCAGCGGAAGCAGTTAGGTGGCGGGCCCACCCACAGGATCGACCCAAGGGGGTCGACCTGCTCTGATAGCATGTTAAAATCCCAGCCAAGAATGATTGAAAGGAGAGGGGTTTCACTAGCAGCAGTTGGGGTACATATAGCAAACCCTAACTGGGTTGTACTCGCTATAGAGCACCCCACTACAGGCTAGAACAATAATAACATTCTGACAAGTATGAGGTGCACGTTCAGTGGTGGGCTCGGTGCGCGAAATGTCAAGTTCTAAACATGCATTCAACCTTCATTTGTGGCTGGGGCTAGCCTGCTACCACAACCACCAGATGTGACGTCGGCGTTTTGAACAACGGCTGGTTCAGAAGGGGGTTGTACCGGGTTTGGGCAAGGTTCACGTGGAGGGGTGAACCTTTCGCAAGTCTGTTTGACGCACCATGAACCCCCCTACATGGCACCCAATCACCGACGAAGTGGCGAGCGAGACCAATTGTGTTTCGTCCCCGCATTTCGCTGGCGGTGTATCTGGCCACAAAACAAGCCCGAACGCGGTCAACAGGGTTTGTCTTGCGCTACACGTCCCTGATTTGGCATCTTCCAGACCCTTTGCCACTTGTTTTAAGTGCTTATAGACGGGGTGCAACTGCCCGGCAAAAAACCACCGGGTGCGGAGTTTCTAAAATGTGCAAGGCAATTTCGCGTGCATGGGTTGGGCATCATGTGTAGTTACGTAGATTTTCAATCAGAGAGCGTTCACTTGTTACAGTTGTAAGGAAGACGAAACGTGATTGGTCGAAACAAGTATCACCTGGACATCGCTACACCTAGACCTCCTCGTAATCACTCCCTGAGACCTTTTTTTTTTTCTTTTTTTTTTTTCTTTTTTTTCTACAGACACCCTTTTTTGTGTGGATGTAACTAATGCTACGAGGGCGAAAATGTTACAGACAACATTGTCCCCCCTCTATCATCTTTACGGATGTTGAAAAGCTACACCTCCGTCTTCCTATACTGACTTAAAACCGGCTCTCCACGTCATCGAGGCCTATGTCGCATATAGCCTGCGCATGACGCCTGCCTTGTCAGCAGCCAAGTGGCTCCATTCCCCTGTCCTCTTCGTGCCACGTCTGCCAGCAGTCCGTTTCCGGGCTCTGCTGTAAATCTTCACGTGCTTCGCTGACCGCAAACTGCGTTGCACCTTTCCAGCTATACTTGGTGCGCTGTGGTTGAAATGGTTGCTGCCTCCGGGAAACCGGTCGACGTGCAGCTCTCGTGAAAGAGCATATCGCCGATGGATTCCACTGTTCTGTCGGGAAACATCCATTGGACCGCCCTCTTCATGACACGGGAATTCACCCCCCGAAAGCCGAATTCGCACTATAGAATGCCTCAGTTTTAATTGAAACAAACGAAAATTACATGGAAAACCCCCCTATAGGGGAAGGGGGGGGGGGGGGTCTTATATTGATCACCCCCCAAAGGGGGGGCACAACGAAATCGAGGTTTAATAAAGTACCCCCCCCCCCCCCCCCCCCCCCCGTAATAGGTACCCGGGGGTGTTGCATTTTGGGGGGTTCTTCTATCCGGGGGAATACGGTACACAAACCCTTTGACTTGTGCTTTTGTGATTCATTTTGTTTTGCAAGGGTTGCCATGTTCCGGAAAATATATTTCTGGGTGGAAAAAAAGACACTAATACTCACAGGGTAGGATTTTTTTGGCCTGTATTTGTCAGTCTAACAAAAAAAATTACCCTCAGCAGTCAGGGTGGGCCAGGCTGCAACCTTGATTAGCCAAGGTGGCCCAAAACCAATTATGAGCCTATGCAGCTCAGGTGGTGATGATGTTATTGCAGCTGCTTCTGCTTGTCAACTAGTACTTAGGTGCCCTGGCTGTGATCCCAGGAGGCGACCTCAACTGCATATGCCTTTTGAGGCGCCTCAAAATAAAACTCATGTGGCGATGCTATAGCAGCCGCTTCCTTCCTTTCACCATGCCTCGGCTACTCAGCAACCCGAAGCTGCTTCCGAGCCTGCTCCTGCCCACCAAGCCAATGGTACTTTCTAATCCCCCAACTGAGCTCCCACCAAGCATCCCTCCCGACCCCCCTCCTAATCCTCCACCTCCCAAACCGCCCCCTCCCAACCCCCCTCCTCCCAAACCGCCTCCTCCTAATCCCCCTCCTCCTGTCCCTCCCCCTGAATCCCCCCCTGTGTTATCCGGAGGAGGGGCGACGCATGTCTGGCAGAAGGAGGGGCAGATGATGCGGCAAAAGGCGTTGGGGTACGCTCGTGCGGCCAGCGTCTTGAGTTGGGCGGAACAGGGGGTGCTGTCAGCGGGGCATGTGAGCGTGCTGTCGACCTTTCTGCAAGAGGCAAGGCCGTGGGTGGGTGACAGAAGGAAAGGTGAGACGATGTTTGAGTCGACTTAAAATGCTGTCAGCGGGTGGTTCGGATCGAGCACTCACATTTCTGCAGTGAAGTCGCCAAGATAGGCGGGAAGCTGCCCTTCAAAGTGGTTGTCTGACAAAGAGCTGCGTTCCATGAGATTGCATGAGGAGTTGAAGGGGAGTGTAACATCATTTTTGAGGCGCCTCGGAAGTCGGCAAGATAGGCCGGCAAGTTCCCTTCAGAGTGGTTCTCTGACAAACAGCTTCGTTGCACGAGATTGCATGAGAAGTCGAAAGGGAATCTTGAGATGACTTAAAACCAAATCGCTGTGTTACACGAGATAGCATGAGAAGTTGAAGGGGAGTGTAACATCACTGGGAGAAGCTGGGAAACGTGACAAGAAACGGGTTCCCAAAAAAGCTATGGATCCATTGTGGAGCTCAAACAATGAGGTAGTTAAGTTACAGCAACTTATTACATTGTTAAGTTACAGCAACTTATTACATTGTCAAGTTACAGCAACTTATTATTACATTGTCAAGTTACAGCAACTTATTGTTACATTATCAAGTTACTGTCAACGGGAGTTGTGTTTGGCCCCGTCCTCGCTTGGGCGGAGCCGACCTCGTGGTCGGGTGTGCGGGGGATGCAGCCGACCTGCAGCAGTGGGTACGGGGGCCACTGCAAGGGCGTTGAGCTGGGGGGCGCCTGGCTGGAGGGCGCCGAACAGGTGGACGCCGTCCTTGGCGTCTGGGCGGCGTCCTGGGCGTCTGCTCGGCGTCCTGGACGCCTGGACGGCGTCCTGGGAGGCTGGACGCCGACCTGGGCGTCTGGACGGCGTCCTGGGCGCCTGGACGCCGACCTGGGCGCCTGGACGGCGTCCTGGGCGAGTGGACGCCGACCTAGACGTCAGGACGCCGACCCTGGGACGCCGGGTTTGGTGTAGCCGGCGACCGACTGGGCTGGACGACCAGGCGGGGTTGCCCGATTGTCTGGGATACCCGGACGACGTGTGCGAAAGTCGCCGAGAAGGTGACCTCGGGGGTGGTATCTCGAGGTCGACGTGGTTGGTAGGCGTAGTCGTTGGCGTGGAGTCTGCTAGGCGTCTGCGCTGTGCTCGTGACGAGGTGTGGAGCCCGTTGTCCTGCGGGTGCAACGCTGTGCAGCCGACTTGCTGCAGCGTTGGCGCACCGCAGACTTGCGACGTTGGCAAGCCGCTACTTTGCTGCGCTGGAGCGGTGCGAGCTCTGCTGCGCTGGACCGCGGTCGACCATGCTGCGCTGGAAGTCGACCAGCAGCTGTGCTAGCTCTGATGTAGCCTTGCATGCCAATGTTGTTGCTATCATTCTGAACATCATTGTTGTGAACTTTTGCTAGTGGAACTCTTGCCAATTTTCCCCGTGAATGCGCAAGTAGTGTGAACACAAGCAAACGACTAAGGAACGAACGCAGAGATCACTCCTACCCCGTGCCTAGCCCGTAGTCTAGCTCCCGTTGACAGAGTTATCTCCGCAGTTACAACAACTTATTGTTACATTGTCAACTTACAGCAGCTTATTGTTACATTGTCAAGTTACAGCAACTTGACTCATGCCAGGACTGCATTCTTATTGTTCAAACTTACAATGAAGCCTAGGCGGCCAGTTAGACTTCTACTTATAGTGCCGACATGGACCAGTTAAACGCAGAGGGAGCTTTGAGGCACTTGAAAAAAAAAAGGCCAGTTTAAAACCGGAGGGCCAAGAAGGCCCAAATTGGTTCGACCTTCCTAAGCTCGGTTGAGGTTGGCCTTCGCACCCAAAATCTTGGCCAATTGTGTTGCTCGCCCCAACCAACCTTCCTAACGTTGAAGTTCTTGGCCCGCGGGTTTTAACCCCTCCTTACAGTGCTGACATAGACCAGTTGAAAGCAAAGGGAGGCAGGGGTCCTAAGAGGTTGTTTCGCCGCAGGTCACTGAAAGGAGGAAGCAGCAAGAAGAGGAAGAGCAAGAAGAGGTTGATCGTTGAAGTGACTTTCAAATCAAATTGAAAGTCACATGTATTATTGAAAGGAAGAAGTAGCAAGAAGTAGCAAGAAGAGCAAGAAGAGGTTGATCATTGAAGTAACTTTCAAGTCAACTCGAAAGTCACATGGATGATTGAAAGGAACAAGTAGGAAGAAGTAGCAAGAAGAGCAAGAAGAGGTTGATCATTGAAGTAACTTTCAAGTCGACTCGAAAGTCACATGGATGCTTGAAAGGAAGAAGTAGGAAGAAGCAAGAAGAGAAAGAAGAGGTTGATCATTGAAGTGACTTTCAAGTCGACTCAAAAGTCTTACATATATGATTGAAAGGAAGAAGTAGCAAGAAGAGCAAGAAGAGGTTGATCTCTAAGGCGGCTCAAAGACAGAAATACAGGACTGCACCGCCTGGCTCCCATGCCCCACTCACATGCCCCGCTCACATGCCCCACTTACATGCCCCACTTACATGCCCCACTTACATGCCCCACTTACATGCCCCACTCACATGCCCCACTTACATGCCCCGCTCACATGCCCCACTGACATGCCCCACTTACATGCCCCGCTTACATGCCCCACTTACATGCCCCACTCACATGCCCCGCTCACATGCCCCACTTACATGCCCCACTTACATGCCCCACTTACATGCCCCACTTACATGCCCCACTTACATGCCCCACTTACATGCCCCACTCACATGCCCCGCTCACATGCCCCGCTCACATGCCCCCCTTACATGCCCCACTTACATGCCCCACTTACATGCCCCACTTACATGCCCCACTTACATGCCCCACTCACATGCCCCGCTCACATGCCCCACTCACATGCCCCACTTACATGCCCCACTCACATGCCCCACTTACATGCCCCACTTACATGCCCCACTTACATGCCCCACTCACATGCCCCACTTACATGCCCCACTTACATGCCCCACTTACATGCCCCACTCACATGCCCCACTCACATGCCCCACTTACATGCCCCACTTACATGCCCCACTTACATGCCCCACTTACATGCCCCACTTACATGCCCCACTTACATGCCCCACTTACATGCCCCACTTACATGCCCCACTTACAGGGCATAGAGGTTGGTTAACAGTGATATGGAAGCGGGAAGAGAACCTGTCAGGTTGTTTCCTGCAAGGTAGCTGAAAGGACAAGGGACAGAGGAGGGACAAAGGAGGGACAGAGGAGGGACAAATGAGGAGGAACTGGTGAGGGACAGAGGAGGGAGACAAGCAAAGAGGAATATACTTTGTTGTGAGACATGTAAAGACTACAACAATGATGGTGATTGAGAGGAGGTGACTTTTGAGTCGACTCAAAAGCCACTTTGTTGTGAGAAATGTGAAGACTACAACAATGATGGTGATTGAGAGGAGGTGACTTTTGAGTCGACTCAAAAGCCACTTTGTTGCAAGACATGTAAAGACTACAACAATGATGGTGATTGAGAGGAGGTGACTTTTGAGCCGACTCAAAAGCCACTTTGTTGCGAAACATGTAAAGACTACAACAATGATGGTGACTGGGAGGAGGTGACTTTTGAGCCGACTCAAAAGCCACTTTGTTGCGAAACATGTAAAGACCACAACAATGATGATGACTGGGAGGAGGTGACTTTTGAGCCGACTCAAAAGCCACTTTGTTGCAAGACGTAAAGACTACAACAATGATGGTGATTGAGAGGAGGTGACTTTTGAGCCGACTCAAAAGCCGCTTTGTTGCGAGACATGTAAAGACTACAACAATGATGGTGATTGGGAGGAGGTGACTTTTGAGCCGACTCAAAAGCCACTTTGTTGCGAGACATGTAAAGTCTACAACAATGATGGTGACTGGGAGAGACTGGGAGGAGGTATGTATGTACGGCAGGTGCTCAGGGAAGGTGGGCGGAAGTTTCCTCTCAACATACAGGGTATCCAAGTCAAGTCAGTTAGCAGGCCGAGCAGGGAATCCTTTAGAGTTCTCAAAAACACCCTGGTCACGGCTTACAAGGTATTTAAGGTGTTTGAGCCGACTCAAAAGTCACCTCCGGGAAGGTGGACAGATGTGTGGTCCCGACTTACAGGGTATCCAAGTTAGTTAGAAGGCCGATGGACTCTGGTATGCTTCCGGTGATGCTGTTGTTGCTCAGATCGCTGCACTCGTGCAGAATTGCAACGGGAATGGAACTCAAGATATGTTCTTTCATATTGGCACAATTTGGGACACGCGGAAGGCAAACAGAAGCAGCAGTTTTTGAGTCGACAAAAAAATCGGCACAATCAGAGCAGAGACACAGCGAAGGCAAACAGAAACAGTAGTTCATGGCAAGAAAGCCCATACGTATAGCAGCCAGCCGTTAGGATTTTTAAGACATCTCAAATTGCCAACAGCAACGCATGCCTACAGCCAAAAGAGCTTGGAGAAGTTTCCTAGTGAGGAGGGCAGAGAGCCGTTGATTCCGTTGGCAGAGAGATCTCTGAAGGAAGGAGATGAGAGGAGACAACAGGAGATACGGGATGCATTAGAAGAAAGGAGGAGAGAAGGAGAGTAGGAGAGGAGAGAGGAGGAGATATGAATAAAAGGTTGAGGATTCACGAGGACGAGTTTTGAGTCGACTCCATGAGGACTCATTACACATGGTTGAGGATTCAGGAGGACCACATGAGAGTGTAGGAACCCTTTGAGACGTCTCAAGAGGAGATATGAATAAAAGGTTCAGGATTCAGGAGGACGAGTTTTGAGTCGACTCAAAACTCGACTCATTACACATGGGTCAGGATTCAGGAGGACCACATGAGACTGTAGGAACCTCCAACTAGGAGGAGACAGAAGTGAGCAGGAAATTGAAGCGGGCCCCTTCTTTCAGTGGAAGTGGACACCAGTTAGGCGCAATTGAGATAATACGTGGCAGCAACTTAGGATTCAACATTAGTAGTTGTTGGTAGCACTTTGTAAAAGCGGGAAATTAAAGCAGGCCCCTTCTTTCCGCCTCGGGTTCGAGTCGAAGCGGTTCGAGCAACACACAGCCTAATATCCACGTTCCCTTCTCTCTCATTTCCTCACGTTTGCATCATGCTTTGCTTACAGCAAACAAGAGATGAGTTTTGATTCGACTCAAAACACGTATCATGCATTGCTTACATCATGACAAGCGATGAGAGGTTGGCAAGGAAGGCGGGGAACGAGCCGGAGAGCTGGTTGTTGGCCAAGGTGCTGCGGAGAGAGGAATGAGAAACGAATGCATGGAGAAAAATAGGCTGTTGATTACTGCGCTCAAACCCGGCTCGGTTTGGCACTTGAATTTCCCCACTGCCTACTACTGCCTACAGAGTCAAATCAAAAGCAGCTACACTGGCTACTGTTGAGTCACCTCAACAGCAGCGGCTACATTGCCTTACAAGCCCTCAAGCGCTTGGAGCTTTGCAAAGAGTGTTTTTGAGACGCCTCGAAAACACTGAGCCAACTCAACAGCAGCTACATTCCCTACTGAGTGAACTGATCAGCAGCTGAGTGAACTCAACAGTGGCTACTTTGCCTTACATGCCGTCAAGCGCTTGGAGCTTTGCAAACGTGGTAGGCAGAGAGCCATTGAGCCTTGCAGACCTGATGTCGCTGCAGTGAAGGGGGCATGAAGGGGGCATGGAGGGGGGCATGGAGGGGGCATGGAGGGGGCATGGAAACGGATGGACTTTTGAGACGTCTCATGCGCAAAAGGCAGAGAGCCGTTGAGCTTTGAGGACTTGGTGTCGCTGCAGCAACGAAGGCACGGATGGGGGCATGGAGGGGGGCATGGAGGGGGGCATGGAGGGGGCATGGAGGGGCATGGAGGGGCATGGAGGGGGGCATGGAGGGGGCATGGAGGGGCATGGAGGGGGGCAGACTTTTGAGACGTCTCAAGCACGGGAGGCAGAGAGCCGTTGGGCTTTGCAGACTTGATGTCGCTGCAGCAACGAAGGCATAGAGAGGGACAGTGTTGAACCAGACAAACCGAAGTAGGTTGGGAAGTGTGAAGCAAGGGGGAAAGCCGAGGAGAGTCAGTCAGATGTTGCTGCAGCAAGAAGGCATGGAAAGGGAAAGGCGAGTGAAGAGTTGTGAAATAAGATAAGCTCACAGCATCACGAGGGAGTTTAGGGATCCCATGGTTGAAGGTACATTTCCTGAAATGGGGTTGTAAGATAGGTCCCTGCTTCGTGCAAGGGTGGTTGGTAATGGTAGGGATGGGGGAGAGAGAGAGGGTTCAGGTGTGGTATCTTTGTTTGGTTTAGCGTAGCCTAGTAGCCGACAGGAATGATGCGTGCCCTTGTTTGTGCCTTGCTGCGATTAATACGAAGGACCGTTCGAGAGGGTTCAGTTGGTGCAGGTTCATATGTGAGAGCACATGCAAGCTTTTATGTAAGGCGCGTAAGAAAAATGCATCGATGCTCATCATGCCCAAGGTAACATGATTCCAGGAATATCGGGTTTGAGGAAATACTGGGGCATGGACTGCCTGTCAGGGATGGAGAACTTTCAGCTTCTTGTGGGGCATGCTATAAAGCGTACAAGGATTTGAGCTTCTTTAACGAGCCAATGCCACGAGGTATAGTGCCAGTGATGTGATTGGCCCTCAAATTCCTGTATCATCATATCATGGACCCACCGTTTCACATGCGCCGCCCCGCACCACCATGCCATCACAGGCACACAGAAGAGGATACCATGCAAGCAAGCAAAGGCCATGCCATCATAAGAACACAAACAATGATTAGATCCAGGAGGGTGAGTGAGTGAGTGAGTGAGTGAGTGAGTGAGTGAGTGAGTGTGGTCATAGAGTCAACCCATAAACAGCGTCAAGAACACAGAGCCTACTACAATTAGGCATGAAAATATAACCAATCCACAGTTCGGTTAGGTTCGGTTCGGTTCAGTTCGGCATGAAGCAGGTAAGGATAAGTTGAACGCATTGCTAGAGGTGACTTTTGAGTCGACTCAAGTCAAATCACCTCAGAAAGCAGCACTTACAGAAGAACAAGGTTAGAGAGCTTTGAGATGGACGCAGGTAAGGACCCATTGAACGCATTGCTCTGAAGGTATCTGAACGAACAATGAAGTGAACACACGCAATGCAATGCAGATGGGTGAGATGGGAAAATTATTCTTTGTTTCACAAACATACATTCCGTAGTGCCACAGGCCGCAGGGTATTTTTGAGAATTCTCAAAAGTACCCTGCAGCATCACAGTCCCAGACTCGGGCCGGGCTGGCCTTGGGGGTGACTTTTGAGTCGACTCAAAAGTGAACCGAACCGGGCCGGACCGGGCTGGACCGAGCCCAGACTGCCATAAAGGCTGGCCTTCCTTCCCAGCCCGTGATTTCTCCGTGAACCACTTGATTGATCTTGGGGGGGGGGGGGGGGGAGAGAGAGAGAGAGAGAGAGAGAGAGAGAGAGAGAGAGAGAGAGAGAGAGAGAGAGAGAGAGAGAGAGAGAGAGAGAGAGAGAGAACGCAGAGAGAGAGAGAGAGAGAGAGAGAGAGAGAGAGAGAGAGAGAGAGAGAGAGAGAGAGAGAGAGAGAGAGAGAGAGAGAAGGCCCGTGGCTCTTCAAAGGGGGCAATCAGTCGGGTACCTAGAGAAGTGAAAAATAGCGGCTGCAGCTGAAAACCCCCTACTGGGGTGGCTGGTGAGGCCCCGTCCCTTGGGGACTGCCTCACCATTCTCGAACCCGCACTGGACCTCCCTTAGAGGGAGATAGGCGGGGTAGCGATAGACATGGTGGGCAGTAGGAGGTACAATCTGTGATTGCTTCATGTGCGTGATACGTATACCTTGCATGTGTGTACGACGCTACTATCAATGAAAGGACGATTATAGGCATGAGCAAATGGCCCGGTCGGGTCGGGTCGGTTTCCCGGGTCGGGTCAGGACCCTCGATGTCCTGGCCTGTTCGGGTCGAGTCGGGTCGGCCCGGGCAAAAAACCCGACCCGACAGTGAAAGTCGGGTCGGGTCGGGTCGGGTTTCGGGCCGACTTTGACCTGACCCGAAGTCAGGTCAAGAAACAGGGTAACCGGGTCGGGTCAGGCCCGACCCGGCTTCGACACTGGGGGGAACCCTAGTTGATGTCGAGGGGTCAAATTTTCCCCTCGACATCTGACGCAATCCATTTTCATAGCTTAAGACGAGAAATCCTAGAACGCTTACTAGGAACCTACTTAGCCCACTGTCGCTCTACCTAAACATTGCATTCGATGATACTAGCGTTTAGGTTACATAAACCGAAGTCGGCCCTTATTTCTGTGTTTAGGCACGCGATTTAGGCATAGTTGTAAAAACAGGGCGTTGCATAGTACCTTCACATTTATTAGTAATGTGGTGCGGTGTATCATGAATACACACAAGCTTATAAACACACATGCTTACCAAGTGGAGCGGGTTCCCCTGACCCGACCCGACCTCGGGCCGACCCGACCCGAATTCGGGTCAGCCCTGACCCGACCCTGTAAACCCGGGTCGGGTCAGGGACTTCACCAGCTTGGCCCGGGTCTGGCCCGGCCCGACCCGACCCGGGAATCCAGCTGACCCGGCCAAGTCAGGTCGGGTCGGGTCGGGTCGGGCCGCCTGCTCATGCGAAGACGACGATTAGGAGAGAGTAACTCAAAACGCAGCCTGGGTGGGAAGACTTGAGAAGACCGGGTGCTCGTTTGGCCGAGCCCCAGGGTTCTAAGAGGACTGGGTGGGAAGCTCGCAGCGGCTTACAGTTCACTTAGCCGCTTCAGATTGCCGATGGAAGTTGGAAGGAATGAGTCGAACGAGTTGAAGGCAATATTGCTGTTCCATTGGGGTCGTTTGGTGGGGTACAGAACGGTGCAGGGGCGGAGATGGACTCAAAAAGTGACTGACTGCTGCTAGGCAGACACCAAGTGAGGTGAGCTGGTTTTTGAGTTGACTCAAAAAATGTTAATGCAGACATGAAGGGGATCAAGTGAGTGAGTGAGGAGCGCACATTGTGTCGAGCCCTCGCAAGGAAGCGAGGGGAGCTGGTTTTTGAGTTGACTCAAAAAATGTTAATGCAGACATGAAGGGGATCAAGTGAGTGAGTGAGGAGCGCACATTGTGTCGAGCCCTCGCAAGGAAGCGAGGGGAGCTGGTTTTGAGTTGACTCAAAAAATGTTAATGCAGACATGAAGGGGATCAAGTGAGTGAGTGAGGAGCGCACATTGTGTCGAGCCCTCGCAAGGAAGCGAGGGGAGCTGGTTTTTGAGTTGACTCAAAAAATGTTAATGCAGACATGAAGGGGATCAAGTGAGTGAGTGAGGAGCGCACATTGTGTCGAGCCCTCGCAAGGAAGCGAGGGGAGCTATTTTTGAGTTGACTCAAAAAGTGACCGACTGCTAAGCAGACTCAAAAAACGGTAAGACAGACATCACACCACGAAGGGGAGTGAGTGAGTGAGTGAGTGAGTGAGTGAGTGAGGCACACACATGGTGTCGAGCCCTCGCAGGGAAGCGAGGGGAGCTCTATTTGTGTAGGCAGACTCAAGTAGTGTCTGTTAGGTATTTTTGAAATTTCTCAAAAAGACTCAAGTAGTGACTGTTAGGTATTTTTGAGAATTCTCAAAAAGACTCAAGTAGTAGTGACTGTTAGGCAGACACTCAGGGGAGTGAAGGGCGCTATGTTTGAGTCGACTGAAAGTGAGCGAGGGGCGCACATCATGCCAAGCCCTCGCAGGGAAGCGGGGGGGGGGGGGGGGGGGGGGGGGGGGGGTCTTTTTGAAACAACTTAAATAGTGACCGTTAGGCAGACACGAAGGGGAGTGTAGAGGAGCGCACATGGTGTCGAGCCCTTTCAGGGAAGCGAGGGGAGCGATGGAGCCGGAGAGCTTGTTGTTGCTTAGATCGCTGTGGGTGTGCATGATTGTTGATGTGGCGGGGGCAGAAATGGGTCAAGAGAGACACGAAGGGGAGGGAGTGGGGAGTGAGTGAGGAGTGAGTGGAGCGATGGAGCCGGAGAGCTTGTTGTTGCTTAGATCGCTGTGGGTGTGAATGATCGTTGATGTGGCGGGGGAGGGGAGAAAATGGGTTGTGACTTTTGAGACGTCTCAATAGCTTGTTGTTGCTTAGATCGCTGTGGGTGTGAATGATCGTTGATGTGGCGGGGGAGGGGAGGAAATGGGTTGTGACTTTTGAGACGTCTCAATAGCTTGTTGTTGCTTATATCGCTGTGGGTGTGAATGATTATTGATGTGGCGGGGGAGGGGAGGAAATGGGTTGTGACTTTTGAGACGTCTCAAGAGCTTGTTGTTGCTTAGATCACTGTGGGTGGGTGTGAATGATCGTTGGTGTGGCGGAGGGGGGGAGGAAATGGGTTGTGCGCATGTGAGACTTGCCACATCAAAGGAAATGGGCAGCGCGATATACTTGCATGTGATGTAAGCATACGTGTCTAGGCAACTGAGTATAAACATGGACTTACATTCATGCTAGCTGATATTAGTAAACAGGTGGGCTGCGGAGGTCTTACGTCCATCAACTTAGATGGTTCTTAAGACGGCGAGACAAACTCCATGAAAAAAATGAAAAAGTGGAGCCTGGTGAACTGTTGCTAGTACGTGGTTTAGAGAGCCAGGTTGATCAGGGCAATAGACTTGCATGTGATGTGAGCATACGTGTCTAGGCAACTGAGTATAAACATGGACTTACATCCATGCTTGCTGACTTCTGAGTCAACTCAAAAGACAACTGAGTTGAGTCGACTCAAAAAGGGCAACTGAGTTGAGTCACAAGGCAATTAAGTAAAACCAGAGACTCACATCCATGCTAGCTTCTAGAGGGATTTGATGAAGGCTTGTTAGGGGATGCCCTTTCAGCCGAAACATGTTTGCCCTGTTTTAGTTGTTGTTAACGAGAAGAGCTCCAGCTTCACAAACTCTCGGTGATTAGCTAGTCTGTAGTTTTTACACACTGTCTTTTCCTACTTGCTTAAACCTACTGCTACGCAAGTGCTGCTCACTGGAAGATGTCCCAAGATCTACTCACATCCATGCTAGCTTCTGGAGGGATTTGAGCTTTGCAGGGATGGAGGAGTTGAGCTGGTTGACAGAGAGAGAACTGTGAGGGAGGGAGGAAGAGCAGAGCAGCAGCACAGAGGAGTGGAAGGGAGATCGGCTGGTTGTTTAGAGTTCTCAAAGACAAATGTCGGTTATTGAGACAAATGACAGAGAGTGACCTGGGGGACAGGGAGAGCAGCAGCACAGAGGAGTGGAAGGGAGAATTAGGAGACAAACGTCAGCCTCTCCTTTTTTTGGCACCTCAAAAGTCGGTACGGGGTGTTTCGCCTATGGGGTGTTTCGCCTATGGGGTGTTTCGCCTATGAGCATATACAGGTGTGTGAGAGAGCATACATACAGGTATGTGAGAGCATACAGGTATGTGAGAGCATACAGGTATGTGAGAGCATACAGGTATGTGAGAGCATACAGGTATGTGAGAGCATACAGGTATGTGAGAGCATACAGGTATGTGAGAGCATACAGGTATGTGAGAGCATACAGGTATGTGAGAGCATACAGGTATGTGAGAGCATACAGGTATGTGAGAGCATACAGGTATGTGAGAGCATACAGGTATGTGAGAGCATACAGGTATGTGAGAGCATACAGGTATGTGAGAGCATACAGGTATGTGAGAGCATACAGGTATGTGAGAGCATACAGGTATGTGAGAGCATACAGGTATGTGAGAGCATACAGGTATGTGAGAGCATACAGGTATGTGAGAGCATACAGGTATGTGAGAGCATACAGGTATGTGAGAGCATACAGGTATGTGAGAGCATACAGGTATGTGAGAGCATACAGGTATGTGAGAGCATACAGGTATGTGAGAGCATACAGGTATGTGAGAGCATACAGGTATGTGAGAGCATACAGGTATGTGAGAGCATACAGGTATGTGAGAGCATACAGGTATGTGAGAGCATACAGGTATGTGAGAGCATACAGGTATGTGAGAGCATACAGGTATGTGAGAGCATACAGGTATGTGAGAGCATACAGGTATGTGAGAGCATACAGGTATGTGAGAGCATACAGGTATGTGAGAGCATACAGGTATGTGAGAGCATACAGGTATGTGAGAGCATACAGGTATGTGAGAGCATACAGGTATGTGAGAGCATACAGGTATGTGAGAGCATACAGGTATGTGAGAGCATACAGGTATGTGAGAGCATACAGGTATGTGAGAGCATACAGGTATGTGAGAGCATACAGGTATGTGAGAGCATACAGGTATGTGAGAGCATACAGGTATGTGAGAGCATACAGGTATGTGAGAGCATACAGGTATGTGAGAGCATACAGGTATGTGAGAGCATACAGGTATGTGAGAGCATACAGGTATGTGAGAGCATACAGGTATGTGAGAGCATACAGGTATGTGAGAGCATACAGGTATGTGAGAGCATACAGGTATGTGAGAGCATACAGGTATGTGAGAGCATACAGGTATGTGAGAGCATACAGGTATGTGAGAGCATACAGGTATGTGAGAGCATACAGGTATGTGAGAGCATACAGGTATGTGAGAGCATACAGGTATGTGAGAGCATACAGGTATGTGAGAGCATACAGGTATGTGAGAGCATACAGGTATGTGAGAGCATACAGGTATGTGAGAGCATACAGGTATGTGAGAGCATACAGGTATGTGAGAGCATACAGGTATGTGAGAGCATACAGGTATGTGAGAGCATACAGGTATGTGAGAGCATACAGGTATGTGAGAGCATACAGGTATGTGAGAGCATACAGGTATGTGAGAGCATACAGGTATGTGAGAGCATACAGGTATGTGAGAGCATACAGGTATGTGAGAGCATACAGGTATGTGAGAGCAGTGAGTGCGGATAAAAACTGGGGAATTGAGCCCTCCAGATTGTTGCTGATCAGATTTCTGATGGAGAGGAGAACACAGCAAAGTAGGAAATAGATGGAGAGAAAGCAAGAACACAGGAAGGAGGGAAGGAATGAATGGAGAGAACGTGAGGGTGGAAACCCGCAGCTCCTTGCCTACCAGTTTCCTGGCAGGGACACATGTCCCTTTTGAAATTTCTCAAAAGTATAGCCGGTTTCCTGGCAGGGACAGGTATCCTGGTAAGAAACAGTGTTTCTTTTCTGAGGGGCATCAAAGAAGCATGGCGATAAGATAGTGGCAGGCAGGTATGTATATGGACAACAAGAAGGCCGACGAGTGTGTGTGTGTGTGTGAGCTGACTTAACAAGAAGGCCGACGACTGTGTGTGTGTGAGATGACTTAACAAGAAGACTTTTGAGACGTCACACAAGAAGCGGGCAGGACAAGAAGTGTGCGTATTGTAGTCTTTCTCGGGGATCTCAGCTTTAGATTGATTTTGAGAATTCTCAAAATCAGTGTGCATGTTGTAGTCTTTCGAGAGGATCTCAGCTTCTTGAAACGAATCTGGAATGGTGTCACATACAAGTGACACTTGAGTCACACCTACAAGTGCCACTTGAGTCACACCTACAAGTGCCACTTGAGTCACACCTACAAGTGCCACTTGAGTCACACCTACAAGTGACGCAGCTTCTTGAGTCGGCTGAAGGCGGTCGGGATGCCTCCACTACTACTGACTGCTGAATCGATGTGCCTGTGAGAGGAGAAGGGAGGGAAGGTAGTGAGGGAGGGAGGGAGGGGAGGGAGGGACAGCTTTTGAGGCGCCTCAAAAGTCATAGGAAGGGAGGGAAAGAAGGCGGTCGGGATGCCTCCACTACTGACTGCTGATTCGATGTGCCTGTGAGAGGGATAGGGATGGAGGGAGGGAGGGAGGGAGGGAGGGAGGGAGGGAGGGAGGGAAGGAGGGAGGGAGGGAGGGAGGGAGGGAGGGAGGGAGGGAGGGAGGGAGGGAGGGAGGGTAGGGAGGGAGGGAGGCTGTTGTGGCCTTTAGCAGAGAAGGAGGAAGTCTTAAGAGCAGCAAAGAGGAGGGGGAAGAGAAGGGAAGGAGGGTGTCGGTTGTCAGGGATTGTCTTAAGGTCACCTGGAAGAAACGGCCTAAGCAGAGGGTGGCTGGAGCAGACAGAACGGTGGAGAGGGAAAGTAGAGCAGTGGTGTACGGTTGGATGAGGGGAAGAGGAGACTGATGGCTAGTGAAGGAGAGGAAGGAGAGGAAGAATGTTGTGGTCAAAGGTAAGAGACGGACAGAATGGTTTGGAGCAGGGGGGGAGGGGGGGGGGGGGGGGGGGGGGGGGGGAGGGAGGGGAGCGGGTGAAAAGGGAATGCATGACTAGTAGATGTGGAATGTAAGGAGGGGTGGGGGAGGGAGGGGAGTGCGAAAGGAAAATGTGTGACTAGTAGATGTGTGGAAGGGAGCGAGCAACTACTCCGCGCGCATAAGTTGAAGTAGCGGGATATCGATTAGGGTTTCCACCGTTGTAATGCTAAGCCCTCTGGGGCGAACACGAACGTGTTCCTGGCGAACACGTTCGTGTTCGCCAATGTGTTCGAGATGTTCGCCTTCACAGGCGAACCTCGAACACCACTTTGGGCGAAACCTGTTCGGCGAACCGACGGCGAACGCGAACACGTTCGTGTTCGCCTCGTGCTCATCCCTACTGACAGGTAGGTGAAGTGACTGACAGGTAGGTGATTTGACTGACAGGTGGGAGAAGTGACTGACAGGTGGGTGAGTTGACTGACAGGTAGGTGATTTGACTGACAGGTGGGAGAAGTGACTGACAGGTGGGTGAGTTGACTGACAGGTAGGTGATTTGACTGACAGGTGGGAGAAGTGACTGACAGGTGGGTGAGTTGACTGACAGGTAGGTGATTTGACTGACAGGTGGGAGAAGTGACTGACAGGTGGGTGAGTTGACTGACAGGTAGGTGATTTGACTGACAGGTGGGAGAAGTGACTGACAGGTGGGTGAGTTGACTGACAGGTAGGTGATTTGACTGCCGGTTGGAAGAAGTGACTGACAGGTGGGTGAGTTGACTGACAGGTGGGTGAGTTGACTGACAGGTGGGTGAGTTGACTGACAGGTGGGTGAGTTGACTGACAGGTGGGTGAGTTGACTGACAGGTGGGTGAGTTGACTGACAGGTGGGTGAGTTGACTGACAGGTGGGTGAGGGAAGCAAGCGAGCCGATGACAGACGGCAGGCTGGACAAGCCACCACCACCGCCATTATTGCTCATTCTCCTGCTCGGATGATGGTTGTGGGCGCCAGGAGGGTGGGGTTGGGATGAAGGGAGGCTCGGGTTGGATGTATGGTGGCATGTACGAACGAACCATTCCTGCAATCATCCGCGGAACCATGCACGGTTCATCCGCGGAACCATGCACGGTTCATCCGCGGAACCATTCTGGAAATCCGAGGAACCATTCTGGAAATCCGCGGAACCATTCTGGAAATACGCGGAACCATTCTGGAAATCCGCGGAACCATTCTGGAAATCCGCGGAACCATTCTGGAAATCCGAGGAACCATGCACGGTTCATCCGCGGAACCATTATGGAAATCCGAGGAACCATTCTGGAAATCCGCGGAACCATTCTGGAAATACGCGGAACCATTCTGGAAATCCGAGGAACCATGCACGGTTCATCTGCGCTGCGGAACCATTCTGGAAATAGTTACTACGGAAACACGTTTAAAGTGCTCAGCTAGGTCGTGCAGAAATCACTCAAGCAGCTTGAGTCAAGCTTGTACGCGACGCCTCTCACGATCACTCAAAACATGTTCCTTGATCGGCTTCGGTGGCAGTTAACCTCTGCAAATGCTCTACCCGAGTCTAGAATCATCGTAACGACCGCCACTCACAGTGACTCCAGGCGTGAGAGTCGGAGAATCTCGGAAGGCAGCTCAGACATGGAGTAGAGCGACCTGCAGGGGGGAAGAAGAGATGGGGAAGGGGGAGAGGAGGGGGGTAAGGTGGGTGGGGAGAGGCGTGAGCGTTGGAGAATCTCGGAAGGCGAATCACTCATGGAGTAGAGCGACCTGCAGGGGGGGGGGGGAGGAGAAGCCAAGAAGGGTCGGAAAGTGTTTGGAACGACTCAAATCACAAAAGTTGGAGAATCTCGGAAGGCAGCTGAGGCATGGAATAGCGAAGCATGGAGGGGGACAGAGGAGATGGGGAAGGAGGGGAAGAGGAGGTGGGGAGGGAGGAGATCTCTACCGTGACACTAGGCTCAAAGCATTCCAAAGAAAAAAGTTGACAGAGAGCAATATGGGGGGCAGCAGACGTCTCTCACACACACGAGGCGGATCCGAGTCGTAGAAAGGGAGCTCTTAGAAGGCCGGGAAGGGGGAGAGAGTGGGGGAGCGAAGGGGGTGAGCGGGTATGGGGGAAGGGAGAAGGGGAAGAGGGAGGAGGTAAGGAGAAGGCTCATCGTCAAACGAGCTTGTCACTCACAGCTGAGACACAGCGCCCCTGGCGTTGCAAACGATTAAAGAGGATTCCCCCGGGGTGCAGCTGTAGTCCTCCTCCACCACCATGGCTGGCGACGCACTGAAAATCTTCTCCAGAGCGTATCCTGCGAGCGAGAGAGTTGACAGGGATGGGAGGAAGGGGACTGTTGAGGCGCCTCAGGATTCCCCCGGGGTGCAGCTGAAGTCTTCCTCCACCACCATGGCCAGCGACGCACTGAAAATCCTCTCCAGAGCGAATCCTGCAGGAAAGTCAACAGGGATGATGGGGGCGGAAAGGACGGGTCTTGGCAGAGCCGGCAAAGCAGCATTGGGAAAGAGAGGGGCGGGTCACAGCGCCCGTGGCGCTGCAAACGATGAGAGAGGATTCCCCCGGGCGGCAGCTGTAGTCTTCATCCACCACCATGGCCGGCGACACACTGAAAATCCTCTCGAGAGCGAATCCTGCAGGAAAGCCTACAAGGATGGGGAAAGAAAACGATCAAGGAGGATTCCCCCGGGCTGCAGCTGTAGTCCTCCTCCACCACGGTGGCCGGCGAATGAAAAGGACGGTAGTCAGAATCCTCTCCAGCGCGTATTCAAGAGAGTCCACGGGGACGGGGGAAGGAAAGGGACGGCCCGGGGAAGGAAAAGGACGGCCCGGGGAAGGCAGAGCTGGCACAGGTCTTTTGAGAGGTGTTAAAAACGCCACGCACGCACGCCGGCAGAGGTGGCTTTAAAAACGCCACGCACTTTGACCGGCGTCAAGAATTACAGGAGTCGCTGCTTCCGCTCCTCGAGCCGCGCGCCGGCAGAATAACGCAACCATGAGGAGCAGAATCAGCAGCGCAACTGACGGCGCGAGATTATGCAGCGTCATTGTCGGCCGAAACGGCTGGATTGGAATACTAGACTAGACTTAAAAGGCTGCTGAGACGTGTTTGGTCCTAACAACATGGCTCACGGACGTGTAGGGCGCACTGAATGCACCTGCATTTTCCCTAATCCGGGCCGACGCCGTGTGGAAGCACCAGGAAACGCGAGCCCCAAAGCTGGGGACTGTGCACGTGCTCGTTCTTTCATCTGCTGGCGAGAAAGATGGCATGTAAAGCAGATGAAAGCGAGCTCCGGATGGTGAAAGCGAACTAACCTCACCGTCCGGAGCTCGCTGGCGAGGCGCCACCTCACTAAAAAAAAACTGACACGCTTAGTGCTGTAGACACCACCGAACCGAACCGAACCGAACCGAAGTCTCCAAACTCCCAACAAGTTGGAGATTTGGGGTTTCCTTTTCTTCCTTCAACGTCGACGTCTCCTGTCCTAACCGATGCAATGCCCCCACGACGCCATCGACGCCATGATCGAACGCCATCGGCAGTGGACTGGAGTGGATCACACCACCTTGGTGTTTGAATCTTGCATCATCCCATCCCATCATCCATCGACAGTGTCTGGGATGGGAATGTCAACGCCTTGGCATGATTCGGCCATGTTGCTAGCCGAACCTTGCCAGCAATGCAGCGGCCCGAGGCGCTTTACAACAGTAGCTTGCTTTCTGAGCTAAAGGCTTGAAAAAGGCAGGAACTATTTCAGCAACAGGCTTCTTCTGAGCAACAGAGCGAAACAGTGAAGCGATCTCCGGAATGCTGCCAGCAGTGCTGGCGAACACAACGATAAAATATCCAGCGATGAAGCAGCAAGTGTTGGGAAATGTCAACGGTTAGTTCGGCACACTAAGAACCTCTTCGCTAATTCCCCTCCCTTCATTTTCACACCCACGTCCAAACCTGAATCTTATTCAGGGCTGTTTCAAAATGATTTTAGGGAGTGTAACAGTAGCCACCAAGATTTCGCCCCAACGAAAACGAAGGGGCTTGGCAATAGGGGTTGCGGAGACACACACAAGCAGAAGTATTAGCAACTAACCTGAAGAATACACATGCAATTATTACATACGTACATGTTGACAAGACTCATACGCGATTCTTCTTGATAAGGTCTATAATCCGGGGGGTTGCTGTTGGGTTTGATTTGATGTGCAAAGGCGCTCGCCGCTCGTGTCGGGTGCTGCTATTTGTCAGAAGAGTCTCCAACACGCGGGAGGCAATCCTGCGATCAAGTGCTCAGGGAAAAGTCGTTCTCTACCATCAACTAGCACTCTCTTTTCGCTCATCATCGCACGATGTCTCCGGAGACTAAGCAAGTCAAGAGTGATGCTTGCTCAGCCGGGTCACTGTGGTTCCAACTTAGAGGACCTGCATGGGCCACCATGGTTAGATTCCTAAAATCCAGTAATTGGACCAGTGAGGAGAAACTTTTCCATGCCTTGTACGATTTCAGAACGAGGTTTGTCAGTCAGGGAGGGCGGCATTGACTTGTAAAATTGGTTGGAACCACCATTCTGCAGGCTTGGCATTGTAACGTTTATCACCATTCCACTCTCACAATCATCTTGTTCTTCTTGCCTGATCCCAGCAGCAGCATGCTCCCCCCCACCAAATCCTCCTCCCCAACAGCCACCCGCTCCCCCACCACACTCCCTCCACCCGCACCGGTATCATTCTTCAGATACATTCCCCCCTGTTTCACCTCTGCACTCTCACAATCGTCTTGTTTTTTTTCCCCAATCCCAGCAGCAGCATGCTTTTGAGGTGCCTCTAGGTTCTTCACCTCTCCACTCTCACGATCATCTTGTTTTTCTTTCCCGATCCCAGCAGCAGCATGCTCCCCCCAACCAAATCCTCCTCCCCCACCACCCTCTCCCCCTCCCCCACCTTCTCATTGTTCAGATACATCCCTCCCTGCTGCACTAGCCGCCTCGCCGCCCCCTTGCTACCCACCAGCTTCGACGCCGCCGCCACGTCAGCGACTGTTCGGCCAATCACGTCGGCCCACGGGAGCGAGGTGGAGGGCGCATCTGCAGCAATGGCTTCGAGCGTGGCCGGGTCTAGTCTGGTGGAGGTGGAACCTGGGGGAGGGGGGAGGAGGGAGGGGAAGAACAAGAGAGTTCGGGGGAAGGGATTGTGGCACCAGCACATGTGGGAGGCATCAGCAGCTATGGCTTCGAGCGTGGCTGGGTCGAGTCTGGTGGAGGTGGAACCTGGGGGGAAGGTGGAACCTGGGGGGAAGGTGGTTTGGGAGGCACAGGATATAAACTCCGATGGAGTATGAAGGATAAGGGCACGGGCCATACATTATCAGCTTTTGAGTCGACTCAAAAGCACGGGCAATATTATCAGGTGCAAGATGGAATGGCGTAACTCTGGAGTATGGGGAAAGCAGGAGCTGCAACAGAGGGTGGGTTTACGCAGATCTTAACTTCCAACGCGCAACTCAATCATGCTCTGTTTTTTTTTTTTCTTCTTTTTGCTGCATCAAATGCTTCATTAAGGTGCATCAATAATCGAGCTGGAAGAAAGGTGCCATTCCTAACTCTTAAACGCATGCGTGTACTTATTCTAGTGCAGGTGGCATCTGTGGGGTGGGTGTTATCTGAAGCAGGTTGTACCTGGTGCGAGGGCTATGCTTGTATCACCTCTCAGAATGGGAGAGCGAGAATTCTCAAAGGTGGGTGTTATCTGGAGCAGGTTGTACCTGGTGCAAGGGCTTGTGTAGCTCTCAGTGCTTCTTGTAGGCCGTCCTCCCCATGCACAAATCGAGTCACCTGGAAACGGAGACAGACGAACGGCAGAGAAAAGGATATGTACAGATACGTGTTTGTGTTTCTCTCTGCACTGCTTGAAATCTCTATTCCCCGTGCACAAAACGAGTCACCTAGTAAGGAAGATGCGCTGACCATGCCTACAATACCACCCCCACTCGCCCTCCTCCCTTGCCCCATTCAACACCACCCCTTCCCCCTCTTTACTGCCTCCTTTCCACTCACTGTCACCTCCACAATTCTCACAAATCACCTTTCAGCCCTCACCGCCCTCGCCGTGTAGTTAGTCGATTTTTGAGTCGACTCAAAAATCAAATCACCTTTCAGCCCTCACCGCCCTCGCCTCCACTCACCTCCTGCGCCAGTAGCTTCTGGGCAGCGTTTGGCTCGTAGCCCGGCTGGCACATGGCGGCCTCCCATTGGTCGATCTCGGCCACGGGCAGGAACGTGAGCATGCGGAGGAACTTGACGACGTCAGCATCAGGTGTGGCAAAGAGGTACTGAGGAGTGGAGTGGGGCGGGATTGGGGGGGGTTGGGTGGGTGTGTTGGGATGGGGAAGGGGAGGGACAGAGTAGAAAGTACGCATAGGGTGTGGCAAAGAGGTACTGAGGAGTGGGGTGGGATTGGGAGGGTTTGGAAAGGGGGAAGGGGAAGGGACAGAGTGGAAAGAGCTTACATCGCTGCGCAGCAGCATGCAGTTACCACCAGAGCAACCACGTACCACTGCTTACCACTGCTTACCCCTAATTACCGCATCTCACCTGGTAGAACTTGTAGGGCGAGAGCATGGCAGCAGACAGCCAAATGGCCCCTCCCTCCGACTTGCCAAACTTGCTGCCGTCGCTGCGCAGCAGCAGCGGCCATGTTAGCCCAAACACACTTGGACCCCTCTCCCCCTGCTCCCCCCGCTCCCCCTGCTCCTCCTGCTCCTGCTCCTTCTGCTTCTGCTCCTGTTGCTGCTCATCCTCCCCTGTGGGCGCCCTAGAGGGGACAACCCCTGCTGCCTGCAGCCGTCGGAGCAGGTCGGTACCGGCAGTGATGTTGCCCCACTGGTCGCTGCCGCCCATCTGAACCGTTATTCCCTTCTCCTTGTACAAATGCACAAAGTCGTAGCCCTGAAGGCAAGAGACGGAAGTGGGAGTGGCAGAGAGACCAGACGGGAGGGGAAGATGAGTCAGTGCAGGCAGTGATGTTGCCCCACTGGTCGCTGCCTCCCATCTGAACCGTGATGCCTTTTTCCTTGTACAGGTGTACATAGTCGTAGCCCTGGGAAGAATAAGGGATAGGGCGTGGGCGGCATACAGCAGGGTTGGATAGGGGACGGGAGGGGGAAGAGGCAGGTGGGTGCCGGCAGTGATGTTTCCCCACTGGTCACTGCCTCCCATCTGAACCGTTATTCCCTTCTCCTTATAGAGGTGAACAAAGTCATAGCCCTGAAGAAGAGAAGGGGGTGGGTGCGAATGGCAGAGACAACAGAGGAGCGAGGAAGACAGGGGAGGGAGAGCAGCAGGTGGGTGCTGGCAGTGATGTTGCCCCACTGGTCGCTGCCACCCATCTGCACCGTGATGTCTTTTTCCTTATAGAGGTGAACAAAGTCGGCCCTGGA